GGTTTAGGGGTAGGGTTGGTGTAGGGCAATAGAATATACGGTCTGTACAGTATAAAAACCATTACGCCTATGGGATGTCCCCACTTTTCACAAAAACAAACCTGTGTGTGTGTGTGTGTGTATGAGCTGCCTCTCCAGTGTGTCGTGCTGTCAGCATCACTACACAACCAAAATATATCTCTCGCACTTATGATTCAGTACATATTTTCCCCTTTGGGAATATAAAGTTTACTTACAATAGTATCTGAATTTCTCAAATATATTCGTTTAAGAACATGCCAAATACGACATAGGATAAAACTTAATGTTCATTAAATAGTTTAAAGTCAGATGACTTGACTGAAAATCATTATGATAATTGAAATACACAAGAGGCATTAATAAATGAATCCCTCTCTTTCATCATTTGTACAGTGTGGTGGTGAATTGCCTTTATTACTATCCCTGCTGCATGCTTTATTTTTGGATGAAATACCATATCTGGGTCATGGGAGATCACAGTCAACGTTCACAGGCATTTCTGCTTTTTATCCAAGCTTTCTTCTTGGTGTCTGTTCCCTTCTTTCCAACTCCCTTGCTCTGCAATACATACTATGACAAAACTACAGCCCAGCTTTTGTATATCCAGTCAAACACACTCATTTCTAAATGGCATTGATTATTTTTCATGGTGATTTTTAACAAAAACTGGAAACGGATCAAAATAATATATTTGATTAATTAAACATGATTTGAAATGTGGCTCCCAGCTGCTCTGCCCTTGAGAAACAGAGAGAGACACACATAGTTCTGCTGCAGTAGCACCGATTACAGATTTCTGTGTCTGTGTCATTTGAATTTTATTACAAATGCAACACACCTGAATGACTTCCATGTTTGCTTTGATTTTTCTGCTTTCTGATCGACATTATAATTTAATTTAAGGTTTATTTAAATATTATTGTTATAATAATAATAATTATTATTATTATCATAATTATTATAGATATTAAAATGCAGAGAATAGACCTGTTTGTATCTGCTTTCACTATATACAGCATTCATATTTCTTTTCTATTGTTTAAGGAAATGCAAGAGTGGCATTTATATGCCATTCTGATATCCAGTCCACTTAGAAGCATCATACTCTTTCTATCAAATGTCATGCGATTTTTCTTGAGACATAATGTTATTTAAAGGAATTACACTGGAGGTGCTTTTGTTGCATGTATACACTTCTCTCAATGTAAATGTCACCTCCATGCGTTGTTGACATTAGACCCTAGTCGCAAGCCCCAAACATCCCTATAGCACAGGATGAGATGGAATACTGTGCACATAAATATTACGCATTTTTTAGTCAAACCACAGGCGAAACGTGAATATTGTGGCATGTTCTCAGGAGAAACGTATTCAATTCTAAACATATGAAAACTCATCTCTCATCAAGGGTTTACAAACTGTAATACTGCATGCAAATCAGTGTATTTCACACAGGCAATGGTGCAACATGATTCATGACTATAGTCTTTCTTTACCTAGTGTCCTCTGAGCGAGGCCTTTTGAACAGACGACAAGCAGCTCTGAAAGAGGTGCGGACCGTCTCTGAGAGGGCCGCTTTGTGGGTCCATTGGGTCAGACAGATCTCCTGCTGTGAACTCCCACACCTTACAATCCATCTCTCCCTGATGGTCCCCACTCTGTTGTCTCAGAGAAGTGCCTACCTAATGGCCAGAGCCCCTTAAGCCCAGAGCTGCTCAACTAAATGGAGCTAGATCTCTTTTTTTTTTTAAGCAGTATTCTTTAAATAAGCCATATAGAATGACAAACAAAGTGAATATAGTACAATTTCAAATGGCCATTCCTAGAAATCAAGTCTAAGACATCCTGACCGAATGGCCTGCTGTGGTTATATGCTGAAGGCATTAGTTTGAATAGATTCTGCCACAGCTCTGCAGTCCACAAATGTGATAATTAAAAGAGAGGGGAGGGCGGGCTCTCCAGGAAAGAGAGAGAGAGAGGGAGAGAGAGAGATTTCTCTTCATCAAGTAATTAGCCAGGCTTTCATACGGAGCCGCTCGGCATCCTTATTATTTTGCGCTGGGTTGATGATGGACTTACAGAGATTCATGGACACACGTACCTGATGTGGCACATCTGAAAAACAGTAAGATCGTGGGATGAAAGCTGTCTGGATGCACCATATTCATGTGCCGTTATTTGCATGTCCGACCGGGTCCGCCCTTCTGTCAAGGTTGCATTGTGTATCTTCTATAGAGCAGTCAGATTCATCTTTTTATTTTATTCCACCATTTGCGGTACTAGAGGATAAATTATGCACTGACATTTAGAATGGATGTTTTTGTTCACATTGTATTCATGTTATTTTATTTTTTCAGGTCTTTAAAAGCCAATATAAGTATCAGTCTGTCTGTACAGGCCGCTTCTCTGGGTGAATGCTATTCATGCGCTTTTTGAAATTAAAAAGCCTAAAAGTGTTTTCTACATGTTTCACACGATGTTCCATTTCCATTTTTGATCATTTGATGCAGTCTACAGCTTGCATGGTTGCTGAAATTATTTGACAAATGACAATGATTATATACTTAATGTAAGCAAATGTAGTCTAATACTGTATAAAGCTTATGGAGCTGCTGAAGTCTGTAAGTCAGTAACTTACAACAAATGCTGTGGTGATAAAGAGCTTGACCTTCAGGTCAAGGGTGTTTGGCCAGCATTTGACCTTGACCTCTAGGCATGTTATCTGCTGACCTCTTCTTGTTAAAGTCATATTGATTACTGATCCCCAGAGACCCGAGCTCACTGACCACCCATTTCTCTCCCTTTATTCTCATTTATTTTTACTGAAAATCTTTGTAAACATTTGTCATTTTCAAGTGCTTTG